AGGTGTACTCGGACGGGTGGAGTTGGGGTTGCCATTCGAAAGTAACGGAGAAGAAGACAAGAGGATGGGTGTATATTGCTGGAATTGGTATTGTTTCCATATTCTCTTGAAACAGAAACCATTCACAAATTCATTGTATGCGAGTTATTTGTTGAAAAAAGAAGGCAAGTATTGTATCTGGTGGATATCTATCTATCAGAATCCAAGGGAATAATGGACTTTCCGGTAAGGGAAGATACATACAGTTGTTTTGAGTAATGACTTAAGATCTTCTTGTTCGTTTCTTCTGCAGATTTGCATACCCAAAACGAATCACTTTCCGTAAAGGCTACTGTCAAACTCCCCATTTCTTGATTTGATTTGATTATCGGACAAATGGGCCCAATTCCGAGATTTACAGTTTTTCTTTGTTATTTATTAATTTAGAGGGTGTGGTTGTTATTTTGAAACTTCAGAGGTGTCATGTTGTAATATACAGAAAGGTGACTGCTATTAAGAAAAAAAACAAAAAAAGAGTATTCTCCTGTTCTTCGTCGTCGCTTCCTCTTCCTTCTCCGACGAGTGTCACTAAACCTCCCCTGAAAGGGCGCTTACGTTTCCACCTTCACTTCATGTCATCATCAATGGATCCTCTCTCGATTTCTCCCAAAATCTCCAAGATAAGGTTCGCCTCTCTCTCTCGCCTCTTTTAGGCCACTGTTCCTTGACCGAGAAATGGGTCTTTTCGTCCATAATTTTCTCGGAATATTTCCTCTTTAGATATTTCTCGCTGAAGAATCACTTGGCATGGTCAATTTGGTAGTCCCTGTCTGTTAGGGTATCTAATCTTTGCTAGGGTTTAGGGTTTTTTTTGCGTCACCGATCGCCTTGTTTGCAGGCACAGGCACAGATGTGTTGCGTGCTACAAGATGTTCAATAGACGCGAACACCTTGTTGAGCACATGAAGATTGCATACCATTCCCTTCATCAGCCTCGCTGTGCGGTTTGCCTCAAGCACTGTAAATCCTTCGAATCTGTTCGGGAACACCTTAACGGTAGTATGTCATGCCTCTCATTTTATCCTCCTCTTCTCCATATGATTGTTTTGTTACTCATTCCGTAATTGTAATTTCAACAATGCTAGTTCCGGACCATCTATTCAAAGGAAACTGCAAAGACGTTTTCTCCAAACGAGGCTGTACTCTCTGTCTTCAAGTCTTTGAGGAAGCCACTAATCTGGCTGAGCATCAGAAAATGTGTCACCTGTCTGCTCCTCGTCTTCTTGTAAGTTGATCCTCATCTTATGTGCAACCTTTTTTCTTCATTATGGTAATTAGGATCAGACTGGCTACTTTGAATTCTCTGTGTGGACCTCTATGGCCTTGGATACTGTGGAATGCACTGCCTTTGCCTCCAAAATTAGATTATTTTGTGACAGCCAAGTGTCTTCTTCTCTTCTGATTATTATTATTGAAATATTAGCAGTTTCCCAACTTTCACTCTCATGTGGTTCCTCTGTACTTAGCACTTGAGCTCGATTCATGTCACCAGGGAACAGCTAGCCAAGGGAATGAGGTCAATGCTTCTCGGCCACGTAGGGTAAACACAAGTGGCACACGCCTGAAGGCAGTGGCAATTGACTGTGAAATGGTTGGTGGTGGTGAGGACGGGTCAATTGATCTGTGCGCATCCATTTGCATGGTTGACGAAAACGAGAATGTGATCCTTTCCACTCACGTCCAACCACAAGTCCCTGTTACTAGTTACAGGTTCTGATTGTGGTCAGGTCATTATGCTAGCTTGTTTATAATGCTTCCTTTGTAAATCGTTATCACTCACCCGCCTAATGTTCAGAAACGAGGTAACTGGACTGACTGCAGAAGATCTGAAGGATGGTATACCACTTCAGGATGTACGAGAAAGGGTTCTCTCAATCTTGTGCAATGGACATAACGATGGGACCGGGAGGCTTCTCCTTGTTGGTCATGACCTCAAGCATGATATGAACTGCTTGAAGCTCCAATATCCTAGCCATTTGTTGAGGTACAGAAAAAAGCCAAGCTCCTTTGCCCCTTTTTGTTGATACATGGTTCCACGGGTAATGGGTTTAAAAATCCATTTACTCGAGTGTTGCTGCCTTTTTTGATTTTGCTTGAAATCTCTCATCCTAGCCCTGTCATTGATACAATTCCTTTGATTCACCTCAGAGACACAGCAACATACAGGCCATTGATGAAGACAAATCTTGTAAGCCAATCACTGAGGTACCTCACAAAGTCATATCTCGGGTAAGTATTCTTGGGTTTCAGATTGTCTCCGTTTCTTGGCATTGGGTTCTTAAAACTTTGAACATGGGAGTGAAGCTGTTAAGTATGTGCAGATACAAGATCCAATGCGGGAAGCACGAGGCTTACGAGGACTGTGTATCAGTGATGAGACTGTACAAGAGAATGCGGGACCAAGAGCATGGATTTTGTGGTAAGGCAGAAGGAGATGATGGTCTAAACTCGTGGAAACAAAGTGATCTTGAGAAGATGAAACCAGAGGAACTGTACCGTAACTCGAGATCAGACTATCGCTGCTGGTGCCTTGACTGACTCATCATCAATGCATGAAATGCCACTCTCTTTGAGCTCGCTCCTCCCTACCTTTTTTTTTTTTTTTTAATTTAATTCAAGCTCCTCCCTGCTTAATGTAAGTGTTTTTTTTTGTATGGGAGGATGAAACTTGTTAGAGGTTTCGGGTATGTTTTTGGATGATCAAAATGCTTTGGCTTCAAAACGACAACAACTCTTCTTTGGGTACTTGGATAAGAAGCTCCTCCTACCTTCAACCGCCATGTTCTCTGCTGATTCATATTGAATGGGTACTAATAATTTTAGTTAGGGATAGACAAAAAACAGAAAAAAAAAACTTATACTATCATTCTCTAATACAATACATGTTTGTTTTTCTTCTCATGAAACATTCATTCATTACCTCGCTTTCTAAAATAAAATTACCAGTTAAGAAAAAAACAAAGCCGAGTGAGAGAAAGTTCTAAAAGAAAAAATAAAACAAAGTTGGTTGGTGTATAAATAAAACCAAAAATAAATAAAGAGCAATTTAATTTTATGTGAGAGAAGAGGGACGACGCTCATTGTCTGAGAAAAGCCAGCCGCCTCCGAAGGAAAGCTACTCGAGACGGCGTCTATGGCCGTGACTCCGCCGGATTCCCAACAACAGAGTCTCTGGGACTCGATTACGTCGCTGATTAGGTCGGCGCAAGAGAAGAACGCTGATCCGCTTCACTGGGCTCTTGAGCTTCGCTTGAGCCTCTCCTCTGCCGGTATCTCCCTTCCCTCGCCGGACCTTGCTCAATTCCTCGTCTCCCACATCTTCTGGGAAAATCACACTCCTCTCTCGTGGAAGCTTCTCGAAAAAGCTATTACCGTCAATATCGTCCCTCCTCTACTTGTTCTCGCCCTTCTCTCCCCAAGGTATTTGCACTCGTCTCGTCAAGCTTTCTTTTGACCTCGGATTCATCTTTGGACATATACATACATCTCTTTTGAATGAATTACTCTCACACTGGGGATGGTGACTTTTGCTTGCTTGCTTGTGTGATACTGGGAAAATGTTTAGGTTATTGATACACGGGGATTCCTCCTTTACTTGATTATTTCTCTCTCCGGCTTACCATTGGATTCATTATGCTACTACTACTTGATATATTCCCTCTGACTGTCTCTATATCTCTTTCTTCTGTTATCACCTTGAGATCAGAGTGTTGTTAACTCTTATGGTTGGTTGGACATTTAGGGTAATCCCAAACAGAAAGCTTCACCCCACAGCCTATAGGCTCTATCTGGAACTCCTCAAGAGACATGGATTCTCCTTCTTGCCTCATATAAGAGGAGGATCAGGATATCACAAGTGAGTTCCTTATCTCAATTATTGTTGTTTGTTTAAATGGTGGATATACCAAGCTCTTGTTTTGAGTTCAAGAGGCTTTTATAAGAGTAATCATAATGCTAGTTTTTCTTTTATTACAACTCTCTTCTTTTCGGTTCTAAAATGCATACCAATGTGAAATTTTATAATGAACAGAACAATGAGTTCCATCGATGATATCCTGCATCTTTCTGAAATCTTTGGTGTCCAAGATCAAGAACCGGGAAGTATTCTCCTCGCATTTGTCTTCTCTATTGTCTGGCAGCTAGTTGATGCATCCCTAGACGAGGAAGGTCTTTTAGAACTAACATCTGATAAGAGGTCTAAATGGCCATGCGGGTCACGCGACATGGAAATAGATGGGCTGCAAAATTCTGTGAAGAGAAATGAAAACCATGATGTATTAGAGAAAGCAAACACTGAAATGGCTATCGAGCTAATTCAAGAATTTATGCAGAATAAAGTAACATCGAGGATTCTTCACTTGGCAAGTCAAAACATGTGAGACCTTTTAATTGCACCCGTTATTTTTCTGTTATCAGTATGATTCGTATCACTGTGGACACTGCTGGCCTCATGAGCCTGGTTTTTTTTTTTTTTTGGCAAACGAATTGAAATGTAACAGCTTCTTCAGATCTTTCTCAACCAAGCCCTCTAAGTTTCCTTTCTCTCCAGGCCAACACAATGGGAAGATTTCACTCAGCGTTGTAGAGTGCTGGCAACCAAATCAGTGGCAGTGAGGAATTCAAAACATATTAATCCAGAAGCCCTTACACATTTGGCATCTCATACACGTAAATTTCTGGAAAGGGAGAGCAAGACCATCCCACGAGGAGAGTTTCATGCGACTGTCTCATTTGGTTCTAAGCTAGCATTGACTAGTCAGCATCATGGGACTAGTGAGTCTGCACTTTGGTTGCCTATTGATCTTTTCTTCGAAGACATAATGGATGGGACACAAGCTGCAGCGGCCAGCGCTGTCGAAAATCTAACTGGTGCTAGTAGATTAATCTCTATTGTTGTTCTTGAATGTCTCCTCTCTTAGACATCCATACACTTATTATTTGGGGATTTACCTGAGATTAACGGATATTTGCAGGTCTTGTAAAAGCATTGCAGGCAGTTAATAGTACGACATGGCATGATGCCTTTCTAGCTCTATGGCTAGCAGCCTTACGCCTTGTACAAAGGGTAGGAATCTCTTCTGAAACCAATAAATTTCTCTTAGCGGTAGGGTAGTTTGTTATGTCTTGGTGCTTCTAGGTGATGCAATGTCTGCGTTATTGCTTTATCATTCATATGATTGAAATGTGATAAAAAAGTACTAATATGTGTGTGGCATCAACTTCTGTAATATGCAGTATGTTTAATTGCTGAGTCACATACCTGTTGAAGATTAACTGACCAATATGTTGTAATTTGAAGGAAAGAGATCCAATTGAGGGTCCTGTGCCTCGCACCGACACATTTCTTTGTGTGTTACTATCCGTTACTCCACTTGCTGTTGCTAACATCATTGAGGAAGAAGAAAGTCAGTGGATTGATCAAAGTGCATCTAGCCCAAGCAACCAGTGGAGAGAGAAAAAAGGAAAATGCCGACAAGGATTAATCAATAGCTTACAGCAACTTGGTGATTATGAGAGCTTGCTGACACCACCTGTTTCCGTACAGTTGGTTGCCAATCAAGCTGCTGCGAAAGCAGTTCTGTTCATTTCTGGCATTGCAAATGGTAGTGGATCATATGAGAATACAAGCATGAACGAATCTCCGAGTGGCTGCTGTAAGTAAAGCTGCCATCTAGTTTTTGCTCTCTCAACTTTTTACTGTCTATTTAATGTAATTGGTTTTGTAATTGTGGCATGTGTCGGCACAGCTGGTAACATGCGCCATCTGATAGTGGAAGCTTGTATCTCCAGAAATCTGTTGGACACATCTGCATATCTCTGGCCAGGGTTCATAATTGGGGGAACCAATCAAGTTCCTCAAGGTATCAGTGCAAGCATTTCTTGTTGGTCTCTAGTGATGAAGGGTTCTCCTCTAACACCATCATTGACAAATTCACTAATCACAACTCCAGCTTCTAGGTATGTTAAATCTATGATGGATCTCTGCTTATGTTTCTCTTTAGGTCATTGGTTAAAATGGCCGTTAGCTGGAAAAATTTGACTTTTCTAGTTCTGCATGTTTTTTTTTTTACCAATTCAATACTAGAGCCTGCTTTTTACTTGACAATTTTGTCTGTTCCTGAGACTCCGTAGGTAGAGCTTGCCTTTTTTTAACGTTCTCAGTTGTAAGGCAACTGAATTAAGCTCATTAATATGATGGAAGCTTAGCAGAGATTGAAAAGATGTATGAGCTTGCAACTACTGGCTCAGAAGATGAGAAGATAGCCGTGGCTTCTATTCTCTGCGGAGCATCTCTCTTTCGTGGTTGGAGCATACAGGTATGTTTGTCATTTAAATTCTTTTTCTGTGATCTCCATTTTCTAGAAAGTTTTATTTTATGCACCGCTCATTTCTCCATTGCAACCTCTTCAGTTTCTTATGTTTAACCCCATCTCTGATTAATTTCAGGAGCATGTTATTATCTTCATTGTAACTTTACTCTCACCTCCGGCACCAGATGATCTTTCTGAGAGTTATAGCCATCTAATCAGTTCTGCCCCCTTTCTTAACGTTCTTCTTGTCGGGATATCACCCATAGATTGTGTTCAGATTTTCTCATTGCATGGTGTGGTAGGTTTTGTTGACTATAACCTATATCTGTTCTTTAACTTATGTTATCTGGCGATGAACAAAGAATGTGCTGTTTTTGATGGGTTAGTATTTATGGTGTTCTTTTGCCAGGTCCCATTGCTTGCTGGTGCTTTGATGCCAATCTGCGAAGCATTTGGCTCTGGCATTCCCATCATTACATGGACTCTCCCAACTGGCGAAGTAATCTCCTCTCATGCTGTTTTCTCGACTGCATTTACGCTTCTTCTAAGGCTATGGAGATTTGATCATCCACCATTAGATTGCGTATTGGGAGATGTTCCGCCTGTTGGCCCTCAACCAAGCCCTGAGTATCTTCTATTGGTGAGAAATTGCCGTCTGGAATGTTTTGGGAAGTCCCCGAAGGATCGCATGGCACGTCGAAGATTTTCGAAAGTCATAGATATCTCTGTGGATCCTATCTTCGTGGATTCATTCCCCAGACTGAAACAGTGGTATCGGCAGCATCAGGAATGTATGGCGTCAATTCTCTCTGAACTAAAGACAGGCAGCCCAGTGCATCACATTGTTGATTCCCTCCTTAGCATGATGTTCAAGAAAGCGAATAGAGGTGGTAGTCAGTCACTGACTCCATCTTCAGGAAGCAGTAGTTTATCAACCTCTGGGGTAGACGAGTCCTCTGATCAACTCAAGTTACCTGCATGGGATATATTGGAAGCTGCCCCGTTTGTGCTTGATGCTGCTCTTACTGCGTGTGCTCATGGATCACTCTCTCCCCGGGAACTAGCAACAGGTTTGTTCATTCCCCTGAAAAGATAGAAATCAAACCAATTTGGACAGGGGATACTTATCTACATCTGACGCTCAGCGGACTGTCTGGATGCATCATGGACGCTGTTCCAAAAGGCAGCTAATGTGGGGTGTGCGTGATTTAAATCTGTCCTCTTGTT